GTCTAAAGGAGTTACACAAAAAGCAGAATTCTATAATGAAAAAGAATTATACTTCCCACATGAATAGTAGGCTTTTTTTATTTTTTTAAGACTGAAATATTATGTCAGAAATGTTTTTTCTTTTCTCTATGATACAGGTACCTAGCATGGTATCTCCGTGTGTGTGTGCTTTCCAGATACCATGAGGAATGGATAGAAGCTTCCTAACTTTTCTGTTTGACAACATGCCAGTTGTTGTCATGGCTTATTAATTATGAAAACTGTTGTCTTTCCCAGGGCAGTGATGGTGTTTCTTCGACACAGGCTTCTTCTATTCTGTATGGCTTTGTAAGATGTGGCAGAGTTCTTTTTCCGTGTGTGTGTGTGTGTGTGTGTGTGTGTGTGTAGCAGAGCCATTTTCTTTGGTTTTGTTTTGATATTCTGGAGCCTTCTAATTTAATTTGATTTGCTCTGATTATTTGATGAACCAGTGCCTAACCTGGTCAGTTTACATCCAAACTAAACCTGAGGTCTCTATGGCACTCCAGTTTCCTGGGACATATGTGTGGTTAAAGGCCAGAGATTAAAAATAGTTTCTAAATTACTAATCCAGATAATTAAAATAACTGTGCTTAAAATGTTTTATCTTCTCATTTTTATTATTTCAATTATGAGAAGAAGTTGACAAACCAATTTATGTGTGTATACTGGGCAGTATTTCCTTGTAGATAAATGAGTGTAAACTAAAGAGAAAGCAAAAAAATGATTAAGTGTGATTTTCAGTATTTATGTTGTGTCTTCTCCCCTCCCACCCAATTCCTCCAATTGTCTCCAAGATTAAAAATAAGTATTGTTTCTATGGGTGTTTTTATTTGTTAGCTTTTAAGATTTTTTTCTCCTTCCCATCACATGCCATGCCCCTTAGGAGTGAAAGAAAATAATAATGCCAGTCATTTTAGCAGCCTTCCAGCACTCAGGTGATACACAGGCATTTTGGAGGAGAGCAGATCTGCGCCAGGCAGCCTTACACAGCATGGAGGGGCGTTCAGCAGCACTTGTTTGTGCTGACAACATTTTGCCACTTGCTGGCATTCAGGTGGCAACATGCCCATACTAGCAGCATCCCGTGGCCCAAGCTCAGCTGTGTTTCTGCCACTCGGGCAGGTTCATGCACACCTGGGGTCGGCCACTCCCAGTTGGTATCAGTCAACAGTGTATCATCACAGTGTGTGTGTGTGTGTGTGTGTGTGTGTGTGTGTGTGTGTGTGTGTGTGAGAGAGAGAGAGAGAGAGAGAGAGAGAGAGAGAGAGAGAGAGAAAGATTGATTCAGTTTTGTATGCTAGCATTCTTTAAATGTCTGCCACAAGTTTAATTTGCATTTCTGATCCCTGAAGGCAGCTAGACAGAATCATTCTAGTTCTTCATAAATTTCCTTCTATGATTCATTGTTAACTCAGAAAACATACTCATTTCTAGATACTCAAAACAGTTAAGGTAGTTACAGTATCGCAGACATAATCTTTTTTTCATTATATTTAAATTGTCATTTGAGAAAGAAATCAAGAAATAGGTTGAACTCCCAGTGAAGGCATGAGCCTTGTAGCACACAGAAAAACATCAGAAATTACTGTGTGTTTTTCTCAAGGAGGGTAAGGGAGATGGCATAGAATTAGGGGCCAAAAGTTTTAGTTTTGACTGAATACTCTCAAAGAGGGACCCATAAATATTAGAACTCTGTAGTTAAAAACTCACATGACTGTTTTAAATACTATTGATTTAAACCACTAGCTAGGTTTTATGAATCAAAGTGTAATTTCTGAGCTTTGACCATATTTCTCAATGCTAAAGCACTCTCTCTTGTGTGCCTTTAGCCGCTTTCCAGACATTCAACACAGGATTAAATGATAGTAGTTACAGTGATCAATAGGTTAAGACGGTACAATCCCTCTTGCTGCTAATGACCTCAGTAGTAATGGGCAATAAAGTGTGGGCTCTAATAGCCTCTCGCCGGTGCTGCATGCCCTTTGATTCCTAGTGTTGGTAGGGACCGGCCACAGGAAAAACTGGAACGTTGGGAGTTAAGGGAGTGGATATCTAGGCTATAATTTTTAACTATTTAAAGCCTTAAACTGTGCCTCGTGCCTCCCCCCACCCCCCGCTTCTCTACCCTACCCTGCTTTTCTACCCTATAATGTTTTCTGTCCATTTGAGTACGTTAAAGCTTTCCATAACCAATTTTCATGACATGTTGGAACTTTGAGGAAAAGAAATCTCAGTTTTAACACATTTATAAATAAGTTCAAGTCCACTCTGGAGGCTCGGAGCTAGCTGGTGTTAATGTGGTTTCAGATATAAAAGCAGAGTAGGGCCATCCGGCTCTGAGGTGATTCAGAGCTGTCCGCATGCTGGGGAGGGTCGCTCAGGCTTCTTCCCTCTTCCTTCGGCTGCCCTGCTGCTTCCGGCATTTTAGGACTCATCAGCACCTCCATCCAGTGTCCAAAGGGAAAAGGAGGGACCCAAGTTCCCTTTTTTGTTCTGTAACACAAATACAAAAATGGAATAAATAACCATGGGAAGAGTTAAGGGTTTTAAAATTATCTTCATATATGTCAGCTCCCTTTTAACTTTTTAAATTGATTTTATTGAAGTATCATTTACATACTATAAAATACACTCATTTTACCTGCACAGTTGGAAGATTTTTGGTAATTTTATACATCCCTGTGACTGCCAGCTCACTCAAGATAGAGAACATGTAGATTAGCCCCCTCGTAGGCATTCTAGCAGAGGCTTTCCTTAGTTATTCTAAAAATTCTGACCAAGGTGCTGTTGCTATGATGATTTCTGTTGTAACACTGTTAATTTCATGTTCATCATCAGTTCAGATCTTACACCACCCTATTCCTGTCCATTTTCCTGTTCATCACCATCAGAAATTTGGCTCAAGGATATTTATATTGTACATCATCCAAGAAACACAGAGGAAAAAAGAAACCTTAAACTTGGTTCTTTTGTTTGCTTAATCAAGCGTCCCTGTATGATGATGCAACTCTCAAGGAAAAGTAAACTTCTATTGTGATGTTAGCTTTACAGTTCAAGATAGTGATTGGCATCCAAATACATTGAAAATTTCAAAATGCTTTTTCTATATGAAGACAAAGTAGAGTGACTGAGATTAGTGCCTGGATGTTAGGTGTGTTGATGGATTCTTGTTGGTGTTTGCTCTAGAGTGAATGGAAGTCCACTGAGAACCACTGTGGTATCTTGTGCTTCCAAGTGTCTTTTTAAAAGGATAATTTATCCACTCATATACATCTGTCCCTTTCTGCATGTAAGAATATTCAGACATTCCCATCTGTTTTAAATTATAATGTATCTACATCTACATTTGAAAGGCCGTGCAATAGGAAGACTCTGTGATGACCTTCATGAGTTGGGTTAGTGAGAATTTTCAAATGTTCTGGGTAGTGTTTTCCAAACAATGAGAAACTTCCACATAAATATCCTCACAGAGAAACATGCTGGAGACAGCAGTGAAGGGTGCTTGCTGTACATGGATCTGACCTTCAGGAACCATTTTTAGTTCATCAAAATTAGTGATGCTGAGAAATCGGGACATCAGTGCATAATGACTGTGAAATTAGGAATGAGAGCTCGCTATGCAAATGACAGGACAAATCAAGTGAAAAAGTCAAGATAAACTGCATATTAAGACATTATGTTACATAAAATTAATACTGCATTTCTCGCTTTTGCTTACTGCTGCCCTGAAAGATTTTTAAAACTCTTTTATCTTCTGATCAGCTATTGTCTGCCAGATTTTTTTAAAATGGCACACAGGCAAAGTGCAAAACATGTTATTACCTTTTATTGTAATGCATGAGATGACAGCAGATCCTTTTTAACAAAGTATATCCTTTACTGCTTCTTGCTGTCACATGTTTGATTAAAAACTAAAGAAAAGTACAATGCTTAAATATTACTATTAGAAGACATACAGGTTTTGTCTTTTCTTTTTTTGTTTTTTGTTTTTTTTCTCTTTCCTTATCTTTTTTATTTGGGGTGATTTTTCATGAAACAGTCTTGTATTACTGGGTCTGACAAAATGGTTCTCATGTAGTCTGCAAATGAGACACAAGTGCAGCGATTATTTTGAATAGCTAAATTACATTCTCGAAAGCTTGCAGAATTCACAGCATTGTCATTAGGTATCCGCCTGAATACAATTTGTGTAACCTTGGCCAAGACAGCCTGTCATTTTAATGTCAGTGTTTTATCTGAACAAGACATCATCCTTTCAGATACTGTGTGCAGGTTCCTTGCAGAGATGCCCGTGCAGAAGCGTGTTAACAGTTGCAAATATGAAATGCTATCAAGTTCATCACCGGCGCTGTTTGTCACTGAAATGTCATGGGAAGCAGCTCGCCTGGTATCACACAGAGAGTGGAGGAATTGAGACATCTGTGTGCGGTTGAATGAGGAAGGGGAAAGGCTCCTAGAAAGGTCTGTGCTGGAGTGCAGGAGGTGCGCCCTCCGAGGGCTCAGCCGTGCAGGAGGCTAAGCATCCCTTGATCTGATCATCCTTAAAATTGCGGTCCACAGAGGAAGTGGGTCCTGTGACCTCCAGCTGTGGAGGCACCGGTTCCCACTTGCCTTCTTCTCTAAAACAAAATTTGTTTGTGATAACTTTATTGTGACGGAAAACTCATTCTTAACAAGAAATTGAGATCCTTCTAACCTACCTCCAGATCTGCCTGAGTCCTTGTCTGCTTGAGAGGCTGCCTGGAACAGCTGTCAGTGCTGCAGGGGTTTGTTGTTGTTGTTGTTGTTATTATTATTATTTTACTTAAACTAAACTTCCTAGCAGATTCAATAGGATCTGTTGCTGCATCCCATCTGGATCAGCATCCTGCATGGGAAATCGGTCAGTTCTTGAAGCCAGCGGCCTGCAGCTGCTGAGCCTGGAAGGGCTGAGTGCTGTGCGTTCCCTGGCTCCTGCTCACGCTGTGTTAACCTTCCAGGTGCCCGTGTCAGTGGCTATGATGACACCTCAAGTGATCACCCCCCAGCAGATGCAGCAGATCCTGCAGCAGCAAGTGCTGAGCCCTCAGCAGCTCCAGGTGCTCCTGCAGCAGCAGCAGGCCCTCATGCTCCAGCAGGTAACCGTCTTCCCGGCTCCCCCTGCCCCCTGCCCCCTGGTCAACTCCAGGCCGGCCTCACCTGAGCAGAGGCTCCCCTCCTGGAGGCACAGGCAAAGCCAGAGGGGAGGCAGGCCGCTGGGCCCTGAAGAACCAACGGGCTGCGTCCCTGAAAGAGAGCCCTGCACAGCCACTAGGTTTTGGTCTGGAGAGCACCCTCTGGACTGAGATTAGGGCTGTAATTGGGCTTGGTGGAAATAAGATCTTTTAGGCTTATGAGGCTTTGCATTCTTTTATTTGGTAAGTCAGAGGCTTCTAAATGTGTGAATCAAAGCAGAGCGGAGCCTTTGGGGGCAGCGGATGGGACAGCTCTCGCAGTCCCATTTCAACTCGGAAGCTTACAGAGTTTTTCTTTCAAACACAAAGACCATTTTGGGCTTGGCTAATTGTAAGGTACATAGTTGACTTTATTTCTTTCACCTGTGCTGATGCTGAAATGAATTTCTGGCTGCCACTGTACCATGAAGACCTAATCTTCAGACTTCATGGACCCCTGAACGCAAAGGATGAGACGGAGCCCTGCATGGCCCCGCTGCAGGCAGGTGCGGGCCACAGGCGGGCCGCCGGGAGCCTGGCTGTCCTCTGAGGCGCATGCGCACGGAGCCAGCCCCACTCCCCGGCCCTGTCACCGAGAAAGCCGCCTGTTTGCAGGAGAGATTCACCAGACTCTCAGCAAGGGCGTTTGCCTTTGTTGTACAATCAAAGGTCATCCCTTGCCTTATTTTAATGAGTTTGTGTGGAAAATGGTATGTTTTTCATCAGTTCACTTGGGGGATTACTTTTCAAACAATAATGCCAAGAATAGTCAGTGCACACTGAAATTTATTGTGGAGTTTCAAACTAAAGGTCAGGCCACTACAGATAAAAGGATGCTATTTCTCAAATCTCAGTTTGCGTATGGCACCGAGAGTGACAGTGGCGGGCGCTGCCCCTGACTTACCGTCCTCTCTCTTCTTTGTAGCAGCAGCTTCAAGAGTTTTATAAAAAACAACAGGAGCAGTTGCAGCTTCAACTTTTACAACAACAACATGCTGGAAAACAGCCTAAAGAGGTACCGACAATGCTATTTTACTTTCAAACCACAGGTCCCACGGGACGATCTAGTGGCTATTAAACTGTCGTTCATCTTTTAAATGATTACACAACTGAGCTGACTCTATCGTTCTCAGCTTCCAGACCGAGAGTTATTGTCCTGTTTTCGCTCCGGTTTTTCTGGGTCCCATGTGTTTGCTGACACGTATTTTATAACCCTCTGCAGGTGCACCTCCTGGGAGCACTGGGCAGGGGTCCTGAGCAGAACCTCAGGCCCCTTTGTAAGATGTACCTGGGGGAAGTGAAGTGCTTTCAGGAAAACTTGATTTGGACACAGACTTGATTATTGTAGCCAGCTCAGAGAGCTTGGGTGTGTGCTGAGGTTGGATAAACAAAGTTCCAGCAAGCCTTGGCCAGTAGATCTCACTGGTTAGAGCGTCACCCTGCACAAGGAAGAGTCTCGGGACCCTTCCCATTCCTGGTCAGGGGCGCATATCTGGGTTGCAGGTTTGAACCCCAGTAGGGAACATTCAGGAAGCAACCAATCAATGTGTCTTCTCACATGGATGTCCCCTTCCCCCTACTCGCTCTTAAAAAAAAAAAAAAAAAAAAAAAAAGTCAATGGAAAAAGTATCCTCAGGTGAGGATTTATTTAAAAAAAAAAAAAAATAGTTAGAGCCACATTTCCCATCCCACAATCTCAGTTTAACTTTTCATGCGAGTTGTACATATCAGAACTGCTAAAAGCTAGTCAGCAGTGGCACAGCTAACGTTTGAGAAGTCTCCTGCTTGGATTATATGTGTTTTCCCAGCAAACAGTAAGGTATCGCAGCAGCTTCCATGTGCACAATGTTTTGTAAGTCCCAGTTAGGGGACGTATTGCCTCCAGGAATGGGAAGACGTGGGGGACCTTCTGTGTGGCCCGGTGCGGGAGGCTCAGTCATGGGGGCGTGTCTTTGGGCCTGTGCGCATTGTCAGGGCATCTGTCTACCATCCCAGAGCTGCCCTCCGTATCTTACCTCCTCGTATCTAATATTTTCTCAGTGCCTGGCATGCTTTTCATGGGAGTGTCTTCTCCTTGGAATGAGAGAGAACAGCTCACAGTTCAATGTAATGGCTTCTGCGTGGCCCTACTGTACAATCAAAGGTCATCCTTGCCTTATTTTAATGAGCAGGTGGCCACTTTTCCTGGGTCAGAAGCAGTCTTCCCAGGTGACTCCTCCCTCCCCCGAGTGGACATGAGCCGGCCCTTCCCCCTTTGTGGCTTCCTCTCACAACACAAATTGGGTGCATTTTCCATGCCCTGTCAAGTTTTCGCCTGCAGTCCTCTCTGCAGCCTGGATGGAAGCCCCAGAGAGCAGGAGCCATTTCTGGGTGCAGAGCGGAGGTGCTCTAATGAAAGTGCTGACACATTTGTGTACAGTGGCATGCTACCGGGCCCCGCTGTAATAGAAAAGGGAGCAGATTAAAAAGTGTCTAAAATGTAAATCTAAAGGACTAACAGTAATTAAAATGGAAATGGCACAGGGAGGGAAGGCATGTAATTGTGAGATATCACTGTGCAGGAGGCTCTCAGCTTTGTTTTGCTGGCTGTTTTTCTAATTCAGTAGGGCTTACTCATCAGTGGCAGTTCAATGCGCGTTAATGACTCTGGGATTGCAGGCATCACTCTGGACAAAGAAATGATTATTGTGCGGTCAAAAGAAGTTCAAAGACAAGAAGGGAATTTCAGTTTTTTCCTTAGAGATCCACATTCAAGAGCATATAAATTAAGCCAAATGTTAAAAACCACAGTCTGAAAGCTGACTTCAAAGTCACAACTCTCTAATTAATGAACTGCGAGCTTCGGTTTGGACAAGTTGTGGTTTGATGCGCCCATAAATCAACATGACAGGCCTGTTTCACAGCCTCAGACAGTGCTTGTCATTGAGTCACATCAGATGTAAACAGCAGAGAAGAGAAGGATATGAAGGAGGTGCAATTGATCAACAGAATTGGTAAAAACCCACTTTTGAAGCACATTATGCATGATCACAGGAAATGGTTACAGCCTCGAGAGGGTTCCCTTCTGCTGTTGCTTTTTTGAATCAGATTTCTAACAGCCTTCAAAAGAGAGAGGAAGAATTACGGAGTCTCTCCCCCGTGGCTCGCAGGCTATAACCCCCTGTTGTTATTTTGTGCTTCTTCCTTTTCAAAGGCATCAAAATTTAGTTTTTTAAAGATCTTTAACTCTATATTTGAAGACAAACAAAAAAGGGCTGCCACTGCTATTCTTATCAGTTACCAGGGATTGTGTTTTTCCTTCTGTGGCCACTTCTGATTAACCTCTTACTTGGTCTGCAAGACGTGGTTTGAAATGCGCGTCTGCATGCTGGGGGAACATGAAAGTCGAAGCGCTCCGAGGGCAGATAAGACACGCGAGGGGGAAGTTGTGCAGCAGAAGGAAGGATAAAAGCTCACTCTCCCAAATCGCTGCTGTCAGAGGGGCATCTGGGCCTGCGGAATGTGCTGGTGGCGGAGCGGGCAGGGGGGCGGGGGAGAGGTATGCATGGTTCCTGAGCCAGGAGGTGAGACACTACGGTAGCATTTCAGCATCTCCAGGACATTCCGTGTGCTGTGGTTGCACTTTGTCCTCCATTTTGAAGGCATGGGTGACACAGGAGATGTTGCCTTCCCATCCCGAGGGGAGGCACACCCAGGGGCAGGTCTTGGGTTCTAAGATACATTCCCAGTTCCCGGGAGATCTGGCCAAGACATGCTGTCACGGCGCTGAGAGCCTCGTTTGCCTGAGGTGGTCCCCTGAATTAGCATGCAGGTGGTGGCCAAGTCACATGGCATCAGTTTCATGATGTGGACTAGTGGTTTATGACTTTAACAAGGTTTGAACTTGGATGTTGACAGATGGAACAAATATATTAATTCACTGAATCCCCAGTCATTAATGGCTCATAATTTTGAATTGTCAGGTCCTCCCCCCATCCCTCCCTTTCCCTTTTTTGATTACCTTTGCTATAAGGCGCTTGATCTTTGGCCAGAACAATGAACCTTTACTTGCTTTTTCCCTGAAGTTGTCTCAAAGATGTTTCCTTGAGCAAGTTGGGCTCTGCACTGAGTTAGACCTGACCTTCCTGAGGGGAGAAACGCAGCCCATGTAGCTGGCTCCTCAGCAGCTGCTCACAGAATAGGTGTGGATAATAGAGTAAGGCAAGCCACAAACAGAGTTCCCATCCTGTGTGGGTGAGGCAGGCTAAGCTGATTGTTTTAAAAGGGCCATTTGTCCCAGGCAGCTATGACAGTTTATGTTAGGCAGTAGGGAGGAGCCGAAGAAAGGAAAACAGACCTTTGACTGCAGCTCCAGGGAGGAGATCCGAAATGCAAGGTTTATCAGGGCAATGGAGCCTTTTAACGCTGCCTGCTGACCTGTGGCGGGGACTGCGCCGAGACCTTTTTTGTGTGCGTTCAATTGTGAGAAGTAAACAAATGGGCTCGTATCCTGTGCTTGGTAACTGGGTGGGGAGCAGTTTGGCAACCAGTGTTGCTTTTAAATTCTTTCTTTGGACAATGGGCCTTGTATACTTTTATATCCTGGCTTTTCAAACGTGGACAGCTTTCATGAGCTTTCCTAGGGATGGCTGCAGTGACAACAGAAAAGCCATCAGTCATTTTATATAAATACAGCATCTTTAAACATTTCATTTACAGTAAGACAGGAAACACCCTCCCTAAACTTCAACACCCCCCACCCCCATCATTTCTTCTTCAAGAGGGGTTAGATCCTCCAACTTCTATTTTATCAGTGTGGGATTTTGTCTACCTTCCCCCCCCCTTTTTAAAAACTCTGGGAATTAATATCTGTTGAAGAAGAGAAAAATCATTTTGACATGAATATAACTATCATTGGGTTTTACATTAATGTGATAATGTGGGAAGGGGTGAAAACAATTGGATCATTTTAAGCATGCTGTTCTTAAAATGAAAACACTGGCTTTTCATTTAAATTTATTTAAATTTTTGTTGTTAGTGATATAGAATTTGTTTTTTGGAGTGAAACTCAATTAACTTTCTCAGTGGCATGGTAGTAAGTCTGAAATTGGTTGCTAATATGAGAATGATGTTTTTTTACTGTAAAATAAACTACACGGAGACTGAAAGGAAGCCACCATTTCTCTCTTCCCCTGATCTCTGCATCAAGGAGGCCTTGATCCGCGCACATTCATGGATGGATCAGCTGGAGGTTGTGGTTGGGCTAAGTGAATGCAGTTGTTTGTAAAGTGTAGTTCTCAGCAGCTCTGGCAGGGTCGTGGAGTCCTGTTAGTTGCAAAGTCCTTCTGATATTCTCCTTAATACTTAGAATTAAGAAAACAGATCTTGTTCTTTGCCTAAATGATGTTTTTTGGAGGCTACAGTTTGGGAAGAGTTAACTTCCCTTCCAAATCGTGAGCCATGATGTGGCTGAGACCTCCACCTCGATCTGATTCCTCGCAGATTAAGGATATGAGATAATTTCCCTCTATTTTTTGTTCTGCTGCACTGTATTATCTTTCTATCACTCAGATAATTACTGAGGAAATCTACATTAATTTTTTTTGGCTGGAGCCAGGCCTGCTAAACACAGGAATGATGTATTGATGTTTTACACAACAAAAGTTTTCCTCCTGTCGTTGTCCAATCAACAAAAAGATATTTGTCAAACGATAGAGCCCCTTCTTTCCAGCCCAAAGCCGGGAAGGGAAACGGGGAGGGTTTCTGAACCTCCAGCCGAGTGGAGGCATCGAAGCTCAGTGTCTCCATATGAAACCCAGTTGAGTACAGTGTTGTTTGCTAAATTATGAATGTGTGTAATTAAAATCTAGTGGCTGTTTCTATGAAAGATTTACAATGTTATTTCATCGTTTGTCATGGCTAATTAACAATATTAGATGAAGTTTTTCTTCTTCAAAGGCCTGATTTCCCCCCATTTATTTATGTCAGAAGTGATAAACAGAGCAGTTAAAAGCTCGCCCGTGCATGGGAGGGAGGCAGCTGTCTGTGGCCCCTCGGGCGCCGGAGTTGGGGTCCCTGCCCTCCGGCCTGCTGGGGTCTGAGGTCCCCATGCTGACAGTCAGGGGGAGCACATGCTGGGTGAGGAAGTGGGGCGGTTCCTTTCACACCAGTGGGGGTGACTGACTCCACACGGTGACACCGTGACAGGGAGCGCCCCTCGCCCACCTGCCCCTTCTCTCGGGGACGTGGGTGGCGGGTGGGGCGGTCACCAGCCTGTTCGCGGCCTCACTCTCTGCCTGGTCTCTTGCAGCAGCAGCAGGTGGCTCCCCAGCAGCTGGCTTTCCAGCAGCAGCTCTTGCAGATGCAACAGCTCCAGCAGCAGCACCTCCTGTCCCTGCAGCGCCAAGGCCTCCTGTCACTGCCACCCGGCCAGCCCGCGCTGCCCCTGCAGCCCCTCTCGCAAGGTGGGTGTGGATGCCGAGGCCGGTGCCAGCTCCTGGGCCCTGCCTGCCCCTGAGGAACTGACCAGGAAGCCCTGCAGACCTGGGAGGAGTCCCCACACTGCTGGTGCCAGTTGGACCCAGGTGTCCCTGAGGGAGGGGGAAGCGGTGCTCCCCACTGACAGCATTTTAATCAGATGGAATGTTTTCAGTTTGGAATTACAAATGAATTTTCTTGAAGGTTTTTTTCTTTTTTTGGCATTTTAAGCTGCATTTCATGTCATGTAACTTGTTCTGTTTTAAATCTTAGTCATGCTTTATAAATTCCACTTTCTAATATCTAGAGATAGAGTCAAATTTATTTTTGTGTGATTATAAAAACGAAAGGTTTTTGTTGGTTTTGTTCTCTTTTTCTTTTTTACCTTTATCTGACTTTATTTTTGAGCAGGTTAGTTCACTTATCTGATCAGGGAGCATATATATCTATAGCTCTTCTTCAAAAATGGAGGTTCTTTCAAAAATAATAAGATTTTATAGATTTTAAATATTTCTTTTGAGAAGCTATTGACATGTTATTCCCCTGGTTGTCGGGCATCAGCAGCGAGCACTCTGTTGTGTTTAGGACAGTCCTGGTGTAAGCAGCTCTTTCATAGGTGCGGTGGGGGGCCCACCTGAGCGGTGCGGGCCCACCTGAGCGGTGCGGGCCCACCTGAGCGGTGCGGGCCCACCTGTGCGGTGCGGGCCCACCTGTGCGGTGCGGGCCCACCTGAGCGGTGGGGGCCCACCTGAGCGGTGCGGGCCCACCTGAGCGGTGCGGGCCCACCTGTGCGGTGCGGGCCCACCTGTGCGGTGCGGGCCCACCTGTGCGGTGCGGGCCCACCTGAGCGGTGGGGGCCCACCTGTGCGGTGGGGGGCCCACCTGAGCGGTGCGGGCCCACCTGAGCGGTGCGGGCCCACCTGAGCGGTGCGGGCCCACCTGAGCGGTGCGGGCCCACCTGAGCGGTGCGGGCGGTGTGGAGTCAGTCACACCCCATTTCTGTCCCATCTGGGGTGGCTTTGTTTTTTTGTGGAGGTGTTTTTACTGTGACGGCCAGGGCTTTTCCTCTGACTCCTCTTGCCTCTCCTCCCCTTTCTGCCAGGACTGCTCACTTCTCCATTGCTGTCACATTAGGAGATTTGGTAACTGAGCAATGCCAGGGGAAACAAAGGGCGTTTTGGCTAATGCATTTTTGAACGTGCAGAGTGTTACAACGTGCACTGAGACACCTTGGGTGTGTTGTTGGAAACTGGCAGGCTGCTGTGCCATGCCCACTGGACTTGGGCGCAGCCACTCCTCCTCCCCTCTGCTGCTGGGCTGTGCAGTTGCTCCGGAGGTTCATTGTGGTGGCACATCAGTTAAGCTGTCCAAAGAGGGCAATTGGGCAGTGACAAGACAAGCTCCTGTGTAATGGGAAAGGAATGGACGTGGCGATGCGTGCAGTGTAAGCGCTGCGTACATATCAGAGGCACTGTCGGTAATTCACCGGCCCGGCACTGATTGATACGCCCAGCGTGTGCCATGACCATGAATCCCTGCGGCAGTAGGAAGATGTGTGTTTGAAATCTAAAGGGAGTCTTTATGGGTGTCCGAGGGGCACCCGCATGACTATGGAATTTCCGGAGTTGGTGCCTGCCTGCGGGAAGCGAGCCACAGCGTCGCAGCCACCTTTGGGGGAATCGGGAAGTTGGTTTTGTCTCCCCTGCCCCTCGTCCAAAAGGGCTGGAGAATTCAGTGGTGTTGGAAGACAATACAATTTTTTCTTATCGAAGAGATAATGGCTTAAAACTGATACCATTATGAGGCTTAAATCAACTTTCTGCTGGAGCAGGTCACCTGGGATGGAGTGAAGGACAGAAAGGTTGGTCAGCTCTGCTGTCTATGAGCCAGTCCCGGGCTGTAAAATTGAGTTCCATGAACGGTAATCTGTCAACTGTCCTCACAACATACATTTTTTAAACCTGTGTCTGCATTTCTTTTTATAATGAAGGAACCAGTTATCCTAGAAAAAGAAAGCTAGCAAGGGAAAGGGGAATGTGTTAATATAACTGAAAATGCCTACTTCATGATACAAACATGAAGATTCTTTTATATCCTTGCTCGTGGCATAGGCTGAGTTACCTAAAATGTGTATGTAAATATCAAAGTGTAGGAATGGAGAGAGAATAATGTTTTAAAGGCCTTTTCCCCCCTGAAGGTTATGAAATGGAGGCATATTTTTGTTGTTTGTAAGGTTGCTATAGGGCCTTCTCTCTGTTTTACATACTCAGTGTATCTGTTTTTCTCCTTGGTCTCTTTAATTATTTGATCCTTTTCAGGACCAGTACTTCCATATTGAAATATACTTTCAATTTTATTCTGACTTTTAAGTTTTTAAGTGTATACTATCAATAGGAGAAACTTTATTGCTCAGTTATGTGTCTGTTAATGGATGTTTATTAACTCAATACAGTTATTCCTATCTAACATTTTGGAAGGAATGCTTGCTTTCTGGAAATTTGATATCCTTTTAGTCTGATGAGTGACTAGCCTGCTTTTTATCTGTCTTTATTCTCTCACGAGATCTTGGTAGACGGGACTCTATTCATGGAACCCAAGTTTAACAATGCTATCAAGGTGTGTAGCACTGCTGAAGGACACTGATTTGATTGCTTCCTTCTAAATCTAATGAATATTCTTAAATGTGATTATCATATTGAAATTTGACCCAGAAGTCCTTAAGTTACTGTTTTATTTACCATCTCTCCCTGTGGAGATGATGAACCTGATTCATCCCACTGGAATAAAAGGGAGTCGGGCAATAGGAATGTTCTCTTAGGTGTTAACAGGACATCTGCTGGGCTTTATTTGCTAGATACACAGCTTCCTGTTAGTTTGTATGTAATTTTTAATAGGCTTAATTCCTCTTACTTTTTAAATGGCTTCAAAGTTCTGTTCTTCTATATCAGAGCAAAAGTGTTAACACAGTTGTTAGACTTTCCACTTCCCAGGCCGCTGACCCGGAAACCAGTTGGTTTGAGTGGAAAAATAGGCGTTTGTGCTTTTCAAGTGTCCACTCCCTGGAAAATAAAAACAGATGTTGACTTGCATGGCTTTGTTTCGATATGCTATCTCCAACAGACAAGCCTGCTCACTGTTGTCCCAGGTGGGTGAGCAGTGGTCGCGGCCGGCGCTCACCGAGGATGGCTGGTGTGTGCGGCGGTGCGGGCCTGGCAAACCACTGGCTGGGCGTCGGAAAAGCATCACCCAGTGCCCAGAACCGGCCACGGGATTCTGGAGTGACCTTTCCCTTTGTTTAATTTGCCTTCGAGGTTTAATTTCAAGGGACAAGTAATAATTGAATATGCCTAATAACTGAATGCTCATTTGGGACAAAATCCATCAAAATATAATTGGCATTTGATTTTTATGAAGGAAGAAGAAAACCGACCTGGCTGTTGAGGATGCGTTCTAAGAATATCTGACCACTTAATGTATCATTTTCAGCCTCCATTATAGTACATATTAATTGCAAATCCTTAAGTATTTGAACATTTTTTGTGGGGAACCATTGGGAGAGATCAACTGTTTTTGTTACCACTCCTCTCAGAAAGGCGGAGAAGGTTATTGGTCTGCTGTGCAATAATTCACTCCTCTTTGATATGCAAACGATCCACGGTGAACATAAAAAAATCCTATCAGACTCATTTCACAGTTCTTAGCCACTCGGGCTCTCTGGAGCCCTGCGCCTCATTAGACGGTGCTCGCCAATGCCGGCATAATTAAAATCTTTAACAGTTTAGCAAAGTAAAGATGTTTGGCTGATCACGTTGAGATGATTATCTATCCATTGTATTCTAAATGACAAAAATAAATTAAATTTAGACCTTGGCATTTTTTATTATGTGTTTCAAATGAATATAATGCACACAACCTTCTTTTAAAATTCAGTCCCTTAGACTCGGTAAGAAGCACGCTGTTTCTCTTGCTGTGTGTAGTCAGAAAATGGCCAGCTCTCCAGATCCGGTAGTATGTGGTGGACTGAAACCAGGAACCCAGCCCCGTTGTGCGGGCGGGGTGCGGATGCCGAGCAGTCACGCCTTCCCTTGGGGTCCTCGCACAGCGAGCTGACCTTGTGGTTGTCGTGTGCGTGGTTCCCCATGCAGTAGCGGTACACGGGGCCGGATTTGGAAATCCCGGGCTGTCGAGAGGCGTGCCAGCAGGATTGAGGCTACGAGGCCACAGGAGTGAGATGAGCATACTCACTGTCTGTCTTCCTGGGGATTTAAAGTGTGGTTTGACACTTGCTCCTTAAGACCCATGTCCACTTTGACCCCGTTAAAAAACAAGAGAACTTTGTACTCCAACTTTACGTTTTCATTTTATTCTGCGACGGCTCATTGGCGCTGATCTAAGAAATGACAGTAATAATAGTGTTACTTGTATAAAAAGTTATACAGTTTTTCAGTAGACACATCCATCAATTAAGCATGTGGTACTAGAAACCAAAATTAATGAGGAAGATAGGTGTGTTAATGAAATAATCATAGTATAATCAATTTGACTGTTAAAAGTTGAAAAGCATTTCAGGAAGATGATATGAATTCATAATTTATGTCTAAAAGTGATTAATAAAAACTATATTTAATAACAAAGCTATTTGTCATCATTTAAGACTTAAGCACAAAAATTATTCATTTTTTGGTTCATGTTGTCATAATAGTATTGTTGAACACATTTATTTTGAGTCCTTCTTTGTGTCTAAAAATATATAGCATCTATCCACATTTTTCCCCCAAAATCTGGAAACCACCGGGATGGGGGCTCGCTGTGGGCTGCAGCCGAGGGCACCTCACCTGCTCCCGCTCCTGGGAGGAGAGGCTGGCACGGACCTTTGGCTTTCCGTGGGCGGGCAGAACTGCAGCCCCAGAGCCCCCTGACACTGGGCTTTGTTTACTGACTCTTTGATTTAATTACTGTTTGAAGAGGACGGAATTGGCTGTTAATTGATTTAATTATCCAATTTGTTTGTTTCAGGCATGATTCCAGCAGAACTGCAGCAGCTCTGGAAAGAGGTGACGAGTGCGCACCCTGCCGAGGAGACCACGGGCAGCAGCCACAGCAGCGTGGATCTGACCACGGCCACCTGTGTCCCCTCCGCCCCTGCCAAGACCTCCCTCATCATGAACCCACATGCCTCTACCAATGGACAGCTCTCAGTCCACACCCCCAAGAGGGAAAGGTAGGAGCCAGCCACTGAGATGTGTCCAACACTGTCTGGCACATGGGAGTGAGGGCGCCTCACCATGTCTCCACGACCCCTCATGGGCTCCGTGGGACTTGCATGTGCATATGATCCCTTAAGGATGTCCTCAGTATTGTTGGGTGTGAGCACCTAAGAGTTCCCACCTTTCCAACATGGCGTGAGCACTGCTGTGACTCCACCTAAACTGCAGCCCAGCCAGAGGCCCTGCATGCTCCTTGGATGGCTGGCTGTAGGGCTTCCAGGCTTCCTCTCTGCCCAGCGCTCACCGTGCATGCTGGTTGCCTTGGCTCCAGACCCGCCTGAGGGAACAGCAGTGCCCGCCGTAGGCAATGTGGAGTCCTGGTCGAGAAGCATGAAACTCACGCTGCTCCGCACTGCCCTCCTCGAGGCAGGGAGCCCATCTGTGATTACAGCGCCCCCAGCCCTGGCCTTCTCAGAGTGAGCCCGCTGAAGCTTCCAGGCGGGGGTGGGGTCCCCGAGCACAGGGACCCGCCGCCCCTTCCCGTGGCCGCAGTGCATGCCCTTCGGTCACCCTGAGTCCCTTTGGGCTGCTGTAGCTCAGGTGGTGGGAGGCCCCTGGGAAGAGTGCTGACGCCTCTGGTGATGCTTGTCAGGAGGAGAATGTGCCCGTGCAGATAATGCTCTTAAAATGAGAAGGTTTTTTTAGTTTACTATTTTTAAATCATTTCCTATACATCACATAATGAACAGCTTCCATAGACAGAGGGGATCTTAGAAGTAAAATGTGATAGCGTCATTACCATGAGAAAAAACAAATTTTATATTTTTAATAGTAGTGACTCAGTGAACGTTTTAAAATTATCTTTTCAGTTAAGCAATTACAAATATAATTTTATGTATTTCTTGAAATATCAAACATCAGGAAGCCCACTGCCTTAATTAGGTTTGTATCTTTATACCAGCAACGTTTTATCCAGGTAGAGTTTACTAATCACAGACAACATTGTCTAACTATATGTGTGTGTGCGTGTGTGTGTGTGTGTGTGTGTGTATGTGTATGTGTGTGAGTCACATTCAAGTGTAACACCTTCGAGAGGTTCCTCAAATGAGGTTTAGATGTGCTTTAACCAGACCTTTCAGCTTGCATTTTAGATCATTGGAATCTCTGCGGAAGGCAGAGAGGACCGAACGTGCTGTAGGCCAAGGGGGGGGGGTGTTAAAGAACGGGGTGGGGCAGGCAGAATCAGCGTGGAGCCACTGCCCAAAGGAGGCTCTGGTGTTCCCAGTGGGGAGAATTGGAGTGTCTGAAAGCCAATCGTGGCTCTTGCTTTACGTCTTTTATAATGTCTCTGTCTTTTCAAACAAACATCGCCCTGAGGTGGCTTTGGGGAGAAGGCCCCAGGCATCCCCTTGCTGCGTGTGCATTGGTGTCCTGGCCCGTCACCCCCGCCAGGTGTCCCCTTGCTGTGTGTGCATTGGTGTCCTGGCCCGTCACCCCCGCCAGGCGTCCCCTTGCTGCGTGTGCATTGGTGTCCTGGCCCGTCACCCCCGCCAGGCATGCCCTTCAGGGCAGAGCAGGGGCCCTGCTCCAGAAATGCCCGAGGCCCGGGGGTGCGGCACAGTCTGTGGGCCGCGGCGGGTCTGCAGAGTGCCCTGACACACACCCTCCTGCCTGGTGCGGGAGCCCAGCTGCCTGCAGAGGTGTGTCCACACCCCGGTGCCCGAGCAGGAGGCCGGGGAGGAGAACCTTTTTCGTGTCTGAGCGCATTTGAAAGGAAATGCATCTAACAGACAGTCCAACTCCAGAGAAAGTTGTTTGCCTTTTTTTCTATGGCCCTTGTTTGTCTGCACAAAACTTGAGTGTAATCCTCGGTATACTGCATGTCAGAATTAGAACATGGATCAGAAAAGACCGAGCCTCACTGAGCTTAGTCGGGGGTAAAAGCAGGCTGAGCGTTGGAGTTGATGTGCGGGATGAAGCAGCTGTGACATTACCTGTCACTGCTCCTCTCGGTTTAGATTTCTGTGGATTCCTAGATGTGGCTGCATTAAAAGAAAATTCTAAGTAGCACATTTAAACTGAATGTAGCAAAATAAGACAAATGAGCACCTTCGGTTGAAGATAATTCAGAGTTAAAACCTTGCAAAACTGATCATTAAAAATTCAACCATCATGCATAGATAGGTACTTATAAGAATGTGATAGGTACTTATAAGAACCTTCTTACCTGGTTCAGGTTAATTTCTAAATCGTGTGTGGTGTCCTGTTTAAGTAGTGGACACAGTCAGAAAGTGATCACCATAACTACAGATTCTCGTTGCCACCCAGAGCTGCTGCTTGTCAGGAGCCCCTGGGAGCTGGGTCTCACCTCAGTCCTCGCCGTCCTGAGCGTCCTGCCTGGGCTGGCGCTGCCCGAGTTCCTGAGGGATTGGAGCGGCAGGCGTGGGTGGCTCTTTGGGAAGGTTTGTTGGGAAAGGCAGTGCCTGGGCTGTTTGTTTTGGATGCAGTCCGTGCAGCCCCTTCTCCAGCCCTGGCCATGCACCTGGCCTCCTGCTCGCAGCACGGCAGCTCTGGGCCTCAGCGAGCTGCAGGCTGCTGCGGACATAAGTCACGCACTGGTACGCCACTTCCACTCTCCTCTTTAATTTTCTTATGCTGGAAAATTGTAATGAAAACATTCAGGGTAAACCCTTGAGTGTGGAGCAGGGAGAAGCGTGCTTTGGTGAAGGTGGCTGGTGGAAGCCCACTTCCCTGCTGTGCAGGGCGCCCTCCTGGCCCTGTGGCGGGATGAGTGGCCCCCGCCCGTTGGGGGCAGTACCAGCCCCAGGTCCAGACTTCCTAACGCCCTGTCCCTGCACGTCAGAGAGTCAGCATCAGCACTTTCTCCCACAATGGAGTCCCGTTTGCTGTGCTGATGATGAATACATTCATTGGGCTGTGTCCCGCCTGCGTCCCCAGGGCCTGAGAAGTGGGGTGGGCAGGAGCTGAAGGGCCTGGCAGAGGAAGAGGCACCTTCCTGGCTCCGACTGCCATGTCCTTCCCCAGGAGCAGGGGCCAGGCTTCTCAGGTCGATGAGAAAACTCAGACCGAGGTCCCTGTAAACATGGCACGATTACCTTGTTTCCTTTACTCGTCTGACTGTCTCGCTTTAGGAAATTCCGAGTTTTGTGTGGGTAAATAAAATCCACAGCATGCAAATGAAACATTTATGAAAATGCTAAATTTAGTAAAGCCCTTGAAGCTTCTTGGATCAAAGCAGCTATGTAAATACAAATAGCAATTACTACTTAAGTAATTGCCTGAATTAAAATTCTAAATATCACATTATGTTACGGTGCACTAGGGAAGGGAAGGTAGCTCACACTTATTAATCAGTCTTCCTCTGCACAGGCGAGGGCTGAGTGATGGCTCATTGAACCACATGACTGCCGGAAAGCTTACGGGTTAGCGTCTCCATTTCACAGACAAGGAAATTGAGTCATAGAAATTAAAGAACTGGTCTGGGGTCACAGACAGAATAGTGGCATATCCAGGCTCCAAATTCAAGTCTCTCTCCTAGTTTTTAAATCAGCACTTGAAGTTTTGTTCAGCTTAGAGGTGAATGCAGTCATGTACTCAATGCTGGGGCAGTCAGCGCTGGGCCCCATAAGATGGAAATAGAGCTGAAGAGTTTCTGTCGCCAAGTGTATCTTAATGTCAGCTCACAGGGTGTGCCAGCACGGGCACTCGCTGACCGGCTGTCGCTGTGTCCGCGCACACTGCTGCCATTTCATGCCCGTCTCTGTGCACACGTGTCCGGACCCTGCCGTCTCCTCTGGCGCCGGAAGCCTCCGTGTGGCTGTGGGTGACGTGCTGCGTGTGTGGCTGTGCAGGCCTGCAGCCCGGGAGCCGGGGCTGCACGTGTGGTTGGGCGCAGTGGGCAAGGCCTTCCCGGCTTGTGGGGATACCCCCCCCCCCCCCCGTGTTCACACGACAGCAGCACCCCTGATAACCCATTTCTCAGAGTGCATTCCTGTCCTTAAGCATCACACGACTACTTGTGATGAACTAATGTCAATATTCCTAAAATAAAATTTAAATTTAATTTAAAATTAGTTCAGTAAAGCTACTGTGTGTACATCAGCACATTTTAAGGAAAAGAGCAGTTTCCTCTTCACTTGGATACAGACGTTTTCTAGGCCTTTCATGAAGGCCTAAACATTATTTCCGTCTGAAGCAGCACGTAAGAAACAAAAATGACCCGTGCAAGACTTGCACACAGGCAGGTGCACAACAAGCCTCTCTCTCTCCCTTTAAAGCGTCCCCTGGTAAATCCCCCCTTCCTGGCGGTACCTCGGGGGTCTCGGCTCTATTCCCGCTGCCCCCTTGGGCCACACTGGAAATGTTCCTTGTGTGGTGGTCCCCAGGTTTTTGCTCTCAGCTGACCCATGGGCAGCAGCTGTGCTGTAAGGCATGCTTCCGGGAGGAAGGCCTAGCTCTGCTCAGGATTGGCTCCAGGCCTTCTCGAAGCGGCAAGGGGCTTTGTCAGCCTCCGGGAGATCGCCTTGTCCGGCCTCTGCAGCTGTCAGCTGTCCTCACAGTCAGCTGACCAGGCCGGCCCCCTCCCGGGTCCTGCCTCCGTCCACTCACACGCCTCTGCTGGCGCGGGCACTCTCCTCTGTTGGCGCAGCTGGCCGCTGGCCGCGCTCTCGCTTGCCCTGAAGCCTGGTCTGGGCTGGTGCGCCTCGGACAGTTTGCCTGCAGTGTCTGGCCTGTGCTGTGGCCTCTGGCCATGTTGCTGTGTATCTGACTGTGTAACAATAACATTTGTGTCTGTGGGGCCTCACTATTTTCAAAAGGTAGGGGACTCTGAAATGTGGGCAGCCTGCTGCTTTCTTTCTAATTTCTTAAACTAAATTTTATGTTGATGAACAAATATTGGTGTTTTTGGTTTATTTTCTAAAATACTAGAAGCTTGGTTTCAGAATTGTTCTAGTTTCACAAGCCTTTCCCTGTTGTATATGTTTCTGTTTAG